TTGATGGAATAAAAGCTTCCTTTTCCATTTTCTGTTCATTTATGTTTTCAGTTATGTTTTTATTGTTATCTGTAAAAAGAAATTATTATCAAAAGTAGATTCAAAGGATATTCCTTGAAACTGATTAATTTCAGTAAATTTAAGTAAAAATGAATGATCTAATAGATACAAAATGGTAAGGTTTATAAATTTAAAATATTTAAAATAAAATATTGATAAATACTTTACCCATTTCCTCCTCTTTGTTCTCAATTTCCTTTTCAATTGTTTTATTGAAAATGCCATTATTTCCTTCTATATTATTAGATTTATTTTGAATTTCTTTGTATTTTTTCTTTTGTACATTTATTAAATTGCCCTTTTTTATTATACCTGTTTGACTAATAGATAAACAACTAATGTGTTTTGATTTATCTGGTATTTTATGTACAACAAGTTCAAGAGGATTATTATAACTCTCACAACTTGGTCTTTCTAATTGATAATTAATACATACATATTATTTTTATTTTATTTAATTTTTTAAAATTATAAGGATGAATTTATTCATATTAAATTGCAAATAGATTATGTAATAAAATTAAATTTTAATTATTACAAATAAATTAAAAAAACTATTTTCTTACCAAAGTTCGCTATAGCATTTCTATTTTGAATCTCCCTTATTTGTTCACCCTTGCATATACTGCATCCATATTCTTCTTGCAACAAACATAAACGGCACTTGGTATGTCCACATGCATCTTTTATCAGTCTTGTACTAGCTTTGTAAGTTGGTTGCCCACACAATGGACATTCGCTCATTTTTTACTCTTTTCAAAAGCTCTAAATTTTCTTAAATGAAGCAGTCATGTTATCTAAAAAATAAAATACATTTTATTTACATAATTTTCATGTAATCCATTTTATACATACGTAATTATAAAAATATATTAATTTCTTTCACTGCTATGCTTTTATGTGTTTTACTTAGTATATTATAAAAATATATAAATTAGTCTGCTATTACTTATATATTTTTAAGGTTAAAAGAAATTCTTGAAATTATGAATTTATAAAAATAATATTAATTTTCATTGGGTTTTGACATCAGTTTATTGAGTAAGAAATTATAAAGTAAAATTTTTAAATTTTATTTACAATTTCATTAACAAAAGAAAAATAAATGACATTATGAGAACAAATACGAGCTCTCACCAGTCTTATTAAACTTTGTAACATCTGGAAAGTAAAAACCTTCCGATTCCACATTCTCCTTAAAGGTTTTTTGATTTCCCAAATATCCTAATATACTTGAAACCTTTCATGGCTGCGGCGACAGTCGAAGCTATACCATTATTGCAAAATTTTGCCGATATTTTGATGAAAACAAAGGTGGCGCCTGTGACAGACTGTGGAATACGATAATATTATTTCATATTTCAGTTGAGGTTAAGTTATAATATTAGATCGTATGTCCGCAATTATTTTTTAAAATTTGCATTGGTATTTAATCGATTTTTTATTATTAAAAAAGAATATGCCTGGTAATTTACGAGCAGAAGTACGTTGATAATATTAAAAAATTTTTTAAAAATTAATAAACTTTTAAAATTGATTGTATTATGGTCGTTCTATTTTGATAAATATTTGATTATTTTAAAAAGTTATTTTTAAATTTTATGTTAAATTATAATAATGTATAATGCAAGTAATAAATACATTTAATTTAGAAGAAATTAAAACCATAATCTTCTGATTATATATTATTCTTACTACTTTTTAGGTTTTAAGAATTTATAAAAAATTGCATAGGACTCGTCAGGAAATTTTTCAGCAAGATGAGCATGCTTTAACAGGTAATTTTTATTTAAAATTTTAGCAGTTACTGAATTAATAAAAATAATTACATAATCTAAATAAAAAGTTTTGGTCTTGAAATATATTCAAATACCAATTGGTAAATATTCATATAATAATATTTATTTGAATTTAAATTTACTGAAATCATTTATTATTGGAAATATAAATTGAAAGTATTTATTGAACGTCAGATATAAACTTATATAATTTTATATAATCATTTTGTATATTTATCAGTTGTATATTACAAATGTCCATTTTGTGATATGTAATAGTTAATAATCACATAATTTTATGTTTAATTTTAAATTAGATTTGTTTATAATTTATCAGTAATTTTCAGTTTTACGAAGAAAACTTTATGAAGAATTTAAAAAAAATAAAAATGTAACTGATGAATCATCTATTAAAGAGGTAGATTTAAATTTATTATGAATGAAGTAAATTTTAATTTGTAATATTATATTAAGGTATTTGTAGCTGATTAAATTTGCAAATGAAGTGGACCATGAATTTCGAACTACTGTAATTCAAATTTGTGAAAAAAGACCAGGAGTATTTGGTAAATATTTGTAAAAAATAATATATTATTAATTATCATAACTATGATTTACAGATATATTTGAATATAATTTACAGAAGCACGTATTACTGAATATACACAGATGCATGATAATATCCCTTATGGTCAAAAAGTTGATAAATCTCTTTTTAAACATGTGAAATGTCCCAGTCTACCAAAAAAATAAATGCAAAGCAATGTATCATGTAAATAAATTTATGTAAAAATGTAATTTATTTTACAAATAATTTAATTTTTATAATAGTGATGTAAATTGTAAAATGTAGAAAATTTTGAAAATCAACCATTAATGCATTGCATGAATAAAAATGCACATAATAATAGAATAAAATAGAGTAAGTTTTATTTAAAAATCACATTTTATTTACAGAATTTTTGTTTTGAATTATATAAATTTATAATAGACATTCATAATATGCTGAGATATACTTTTTTTACTTTTTATTTTCTTTACAATAACTTTTTCGTTTTGTAGATAGAAATTATAAATTTATGTTTATATTTCATTAACCACGATTGATTGTTCATAGTTTTTCCAATATAATCAAGTTACTCATCAGTCATCAATGACAGCTTATACATTTGTTCTGAAAGAAATTTTCGATTACTTACAAATATGGTTTTTCATTGTTTTCATTATAAAAATTAAAGATAGTTATAATTAAATTATAGTACTTTTGATGTTTATTCAGTTTAATATATAAATTATAAATATACATATGTATATTTAATCATAAATAAAATAATAACATTTTATTAAAAAAAAATTTATCATAAAAGTAAATCTCAGCGCAGAACAAATGGATCAAGCAATTAAGCAATGGCTTCGCAATGGAAGGGTCGATTAAGTTCGAAGTTTATGATAAGCTTAAGATTAATGCGATCGGAAATGAAAGACCCAAAATCTTGACTAGATATCATTACGCACTCATACTCCGGATGGTTACGGATCTGCTCGATCAGATCATTGGGTTTCAGTTCCTTATTACAAATGCGATGGACTGTCGCGAATAAAGGAAACTTAGCCGTGGAGTTACTGTCCTTGAGCATTCCGTAGACTTCTTCAGCTGTCAATGGTCCCTGGAGCTTTTGACCATTCAGCAATTCGTCTTCTAATTCTTTGATGGTCTGTGAACATGTTTGATGCTTTGAATTTCAGATATTAAATACAAAATAAAAAAAAATTCAATATGATGTTAATGCATTATGTACAATATAAGATATGTTAATATTACTAAATGTTATATAAAAATGTCAATTATTAGTGCTATAAGTGCATATGAATATTTAAAAAAAGAATGATTCTTATTAAAGCACTTTTGATTATTCCAATAAAATTGCAATAACTTGTAGTTGAAGGTATAGGCATTCTTTTTAAAACCGTTAGAAAACACTAATAAAATAATATCGATTTAAAATATAAAGGATATTAAAATAATTCTACTGTATATTTGTTTAATTATGGATCGCTAACAAATAATTAAATTAACATTACAATGTCATTCAAATTTTACAAAATAATAGAGAATAAGTAATAGAATAATTGAGATAAGAATTATTTAAATACAATATAATAAAGAAATTAGTAAAATAGTTTCATTATAAAAATTACTACTCACGTAAAGCATTTTTTAAAATATAATTTCGATAAACACTATCAATATTTATATTGTTAATTGAATACAAGTAATAATTGAAAACCTTATGGCATAATGAATATAAAACTCAAAATTAAGCATCACTTTGCCAGTTTTGACGAATTGCTCGCAAACTCTGCGGTTCCTGCCACCGTAGCAGGTGGTGATAAGGTCAGCAATACCGCAACTCTCGAAAAAGATCGACATATTAAATTTGCCATAAAACAGTTTCACATAATTCACTATCTCCATGAGTCCGAGCCTTATAACTGCGGCTTTCGTGTTGTCGCCCAGGTCAAGGCCATCCACAAAACCTGCGGCACACGCTACGATGTTCTTTGAAAAAAAAGGAATTACATGTCTGGATTAGCAGTGTTAGGTCAACTATTTAATTATAAGAACTCATTTTATTTTATCCATTTATTACGAATAGAAGCTCTTATTGTGTATTACAGTAATAAATATTAAGCAAAAATCAGATTTTCTAAGCATATCTCACAAATTATATCCCCTCATTATTCTTTTTTCTTTTAATTATGTTTGCAATACAAACTCAAAGTATATTAATTATATTCACAATCTTTTTTATATATTGCATATGCTACGTATTTTTACGTGTTCATGGTAAAATATATGTTATTTAATATCTTAATTATATATCGAATAATATTTTAATAAATGTAATTATTGCTCTTAAGTGACACTCATTCTCTATTAATAAACTTTGAGAATTTAATAGTCTAGCATCGCAAATAATCATATTGTAACAAGAATGTAATAAGACTATCAATTATGATTCTTAAATTATACATGTTATTTATAAAAACTTATAGTGAAATATAATTTGACATCTTTTATTTTGTTTTGATCAAAATATTTTTAATTCTTTAAAAATGCAGTTTTTGCTGTTAACAATAAATTTTTTCATTAACAGAGAACTTGAATAATCACAAGTCTAGAAAGAGTATGATAAAACATAATTTATCTTACTTTAAGTGCTCCGCAAATTTCGACTGCTTCTATTTCTTCTACGACTCTAACTCTGAAATTTTCCGTTTGTATACAATCCTTCATAATTGCACCCATAATCTTATCTTTGCAGCCTATTAATAATAAAATAAGAATTTAATCTTTGTTTTTATATTTCACCTTTTATTTTTAATGACGATATTAAAACAATAAATTTTATTTCAACTAATATTATTACAAATTATTTAAAAATTCACGCATAAATGCTTACTTTTCATGAAAGCAAACCATTTTTGTTTTTTGAAAATACATTATTTAGAGTAAGATTTTCTGCAAATTTACCGATTGTGGTTTCACAGAAATAATCACTGGCAACTTCGTTTGAGAGATTCGCTCCCATTAGAACCGAGCATGGGATTTTCAATTTTTCTTCAATAAACTTGGAAATCAATTTGAGCTTTGTATCATTTTCTTGAGTGAAACCCTTAAAAGAAAATGAAACAAAAACTATATAAATTTAATTATAAGTTACACATTTTGTCTACCACATTATTTCATTTAATTTAACACTTTAATTGAGTTAATTATATTGATAACACTCGTGGACTCTGCAATGCGGCTGAAAGGAATTATATTAATATATTAATATTGTAATAAATTTCTAACATTGTATTTTATAAAAATAAATAAGTGCCATGTTTTCATAAAAATATAAAATATAAAATTTCCATATTTCAATATTAAATCAATATTCATCAATTTAATAATTTGTTAATTTTAATTACATAAGTTTAATCTATAATACATCATTCTTCTAATTTATCGAATTACTTGGCAATAAAATGAAATAAATGCAAAAAAAAAAGAACTAAAGCTAAAATTTTTCTTACGATGTCAGTTTATAAAAATCTTAAGAATTATTACTCCAGATTATAAAGAATAACGCTACCTTAATTAAAGATAGGCTAACAGCGCTGGATTTAATTTTTCCCAGCAATGCAGTGCAAAGTCCCGGAACGAATTGGTGGGGTACAACGAATATCAGAATATCAGCATTTTTGGCTGCCTCAACGACATCTGGTACTGCAATCTAAGAAATTTTGAATATATTTTAACATAAAACATAAATATATTTTTTTTTTAATTTAATACGATATATTATAATTTTGTATATATCCTATTATCTATTAAAAAAAATAAAAGAATTCCCAAATAATTAGATCTTGCTCAAATCCAACTTTCAGTTGAATTTAAAGTTTTACTAGAGGGCATTTCAAATTTCTACCTATACAAAAATCGAATAAGCTTGATAATTTCTGCAACACTTAATTCATGTTTCACGAGATCAAGAATTCTGTATTATAATAGATAATAATTAAATTATAGAGATGTTCATTATTAGAATGCAATCGCAACTACAGAAATTCGCTATACTTATACATACTCTTCTGATGTAAAATATTTATAGATTACATGTTTTATATTATTTAATATAAAAATTAATTTTTATAATAAATAATATAATTTATTGGAATATATATAAAATTGCTATAAATTTTTTCTAGAATTTGTTATAATTAAATATAAAATATATAATAATTTACCTGATTTGCATTTCAAATATTACTAATTGTAGCTAATATTATTTAGAAAAAGTATTGCATATTTATGATTTATATATTTTAAATTAACTTGAAAACAGTACTAAAGATAAAACAGGTACTTGCAAGACCTTAATAAAGGATTAATACGTGACAAGGTACAAGGTATACACGTATTTATGACCGTATAATGAATAACCTTTTTAGAAATAATTCGAGGGTATTTTAATTAAATATAATTATAAAATTATAATTTGCATTGGAAACATTAATTTATTTGAAGAAGCAAATTTTCATTTCATTGTATTTGAATTCCTTAAATTGCTCAGGGTATAAAATTAACAAATTAATTAAGTTATTATATAAATATACTTTATTGTTCCAAGTATAGGAATGAATTATAAAGCATTTCAATATTTCATAGAAACATAAACGTTCGATAAAGATTGAAAATTTTTTTAATAATTACATTATGATATTAATCTATTATTTAGGTATTAATAATATTAATAATGCGACCGATCGTATTATTCCAATTATTAAGTACATTGGCAATAGACTATTTCAACCAATCAATTGATAGTCAATATTTACATTCCACCAACATTGATAATATATTTAAGGAAACAAATCGATAGAAATGTGTATGAATTTCATTTTCAATTCAATAGGTATTCAATTCAACACATAAATGCTTGCATATGCTTAGTATACTAAAGTAACATGTTTGAGCAAATCGAAATAAGGCGATGTGTATATCCGTACAGAAGCAAACCGCATGCTTACGTGGAAGCATCCGAGTATATAATAAAAGCTGCAGTACTTTTCTTAGGTCAGTTTCAAACGAACCGTAAGGACGTACGCACTTCTTACATTTAAGTTTTTGCGTCACATCTTAAATCATTTTAAAAAATGAAGCTGAATTCGATTGTGCCGAACTTTAGTGCCGAAACCACCCAGGGTTCCATCGACTTTTATAAATGGCAAAAGGACACGTAAGTGATTTTCTACTCAACATTATTTTAAACGATTAACACATTTATATTTCCTATCTGTTATTATTCATTATTAGTTGAAAGGCAATAAGAAAAATGTAAAGAAGATAAATTAATGTAATATTTTCGTGATGGGTAATGATACTAGTAACCATTAGGTATATTTGGAGAATATTTTTTGTATTTTAAATCTTCATTTTAATCTGTTAGATTAACATCTAGAGTGGTAAGTGTTAAATTTGTCAAAAATATTACATTCTTTAACCAATTGAATTTAATTTCGAATAATTAGGAAGTTTATTATTTAAGTTCATGACAAGATAATACAAATAAACATATAAATTAAAATTTTTTTAAATTTAATATGACAACAATAAAAGCAAACTATGAATAATAATAATGAGTAAATCATTATCAGTTATTAATAGTAAAAATTCCAGATTTAGTTTTTCTCATTAAACATATTTTGTCAAAACAATGACTCAAACAATTACTTAAAAATATCATAAATATCTAAATATTTCAAATATAGTCATTACATTCAAGTGTCTCATGTAAACATCCAGCAAACAAGCTACCAGGCCAATGGAATTTATTTTAAATGTAGTAATAAAAATAACTACAGAGCCCGGTGACTCGGTGGCTTCAATCGTACGCACACCATCGTTTACCGAGACATTTTGCATCATTAAACGATGCCTCGCACGAGGAAATGTGCGATTCATTGCGTAATAATTGTAAGCGTGAAGGCCAGATGACCGATGATGAATCGACAACCTTGATTCGTTTGAATTTGGCACCTAAGTTTAAATAAGGTTATAATAGGGTCGTTTCAGTACGTGATTACTCATTTGTAGATGTATATGACCGTGAATTGCTATATAGTCTTTATAGAAATTATTTATCAAATATACTTTTATAGAAACACAGAAACGAATATTTCTTTAAGCGCTCTTTTAATGTTTAAAAAGGTAATAATACTTGATAGATATTTAACACTAAGAACCAGTAGATATTACATTATGGAATCAGAGCAGCGTAAAGTTTTTAATATGATCAAATAGAAACTCGGGTACTAGATACTATTTTTTCTTTATTATAATAATTAATTATAAGTTAAACAGTATAGGTGTATGTAGAGTAAAAAGTTTTTAAAAAACTTTATGAATATTTTGCAAATGTAATTGTGTTAAAATTATAATACTTTTTATTACTTTAATTGACATTGCACGTAAAATGTTATAATATTAAAACTAATATTTTGCTAATAATTATGTGATTTGACTAAGAACTTCACTATTAATTTATTGAAAAATGTAATCATTTTCTTAATTCTTTAAGTTTTAATAATGATCATCAAATTAATACCTAAATACCTTATTCAAGCGTGATTAATTCAATTAATTTCAATTAGGCTTAGGATAGAGTTTTTTTTTAAATAAGCGGTACGGATTACAACAAAAAACAACAAACAACCTTAAAAAGTTTAAAGAGAATAAGCATCAATTTAAAAATAATAACTTTTATTATTCTAAAAATAGCACATTTATTAAAGTTGATCGAGTTTTCCACTTAATAAAATATATCTATAGATTAAGTATGTTATAAAATTAATACAAAAATCTATTTTTAAGCAAAGCTAGAGAATTACTTATTTTTATATTAGTGCATATATAATGATACCTACAGTAAACATGTAAACCACTATATATTACTTTTACTTGATCTTAGTACTTATTACATAATTGTTTTCATTTTTATAAATTCAAATTCATTATATGAAATTGTATGTAATCGCTAATCTTATTCCAATTAGATACATTTTTTTTTCTTTAGCATTAGGTGAAAAAAAAATTATTAAAAAGTCAGCACTATTGTAGTTGACATCATAGTTTATTTAATTACGTTTTAACTTCGACCAATTATGTAATAATACCAGGACAGTAAATATGACGAATATATTATTTGTATTACTAATATATATATATATATATATATATATATTAATATGTACAATATAACTGAAAATATTTTTTTTATATACACAACATTTTCATTGAACTTGCAAAGTATTTTTTTTTGGATATCAATATATTGACGATTATCTACATCGGTAGTACTATATCGGTACATGAGCGAAAAATTTATTATCTAAACATGTGACGAATAACTGATTTGCATTACTTGAATTGAAAATTTGCATTACATTTTTTCAATATACAATCAAACTGTTTTTATAGGAGAAAATAGTTTTACTTGAAAAAGATCTTTCGAAGTAAATGAATGTAACGACCTTGACATGAAAATATCATTTCTATCATTATGAAATTTAATAGTAATTCAGACTTTTCTCGGGACGTGTATCTATAACCTAAAGTAAGACAGAGAGTAACACCTCATTATATCAAGCAATTCCAAAAGGGACGAACGTTACGAAATTTATATAATACTATAATTGCAGGTGGGTGGTGCTGTTTTCACACCCTGCGGACTTTACACCGGTCTGCACGACGGAGTTAGGTCGATTAGCCGTTCACATTCCGCACTTTGAGAAGCGCAATACCAAACTTCTTGCCCTTTCCGTCGACCAACTCACTGATCACGTCAATTGGGTTAACGTACTTTAACTCTTTATTTTACTTATGGTCTAACTTTGACCGACACATTTTTCTCTGTTTCTCCTTTTTTCGCCATTATCCAGCAAAAATTATTGCATTATAACTTTTTGACGTAAAAGGAATAGTTTTATAAGTAAGAGGAAACAGGGAATAATAAGATGTTTATCGCTTCACATATCATATAACGTAACATTCTCTTGTTAAATAACAATAATAATAATATGACTATGATTTGAATTAAAATTTTGTAAAAATTGAAAACTCATCCCTATTAGGTAACGAACTATATTAATAAAAGGCTATTTTCTAAAAGGACATTAAATCATATTGCCCGGACATCCTGGGCGACTTTCCATACCCAATTGTCGCTGATCCTGATCGTACTCTAGCCGTGCAATTGGGAATGATCGACGAGGATAGCAGGAACAAACCAGAGGAAGCTAACACCGTTCGCGCTCTTTATATCATTAGTCCTGATCACAGACTCAGACTGTCGATGCACTATCCTACGTCCACGGGGCGTAATGTGGAGTAAGTGTCATCGTCAATTGTTCAATTAGATGAATAATGTGTAATATAGAAAAATATAATGAGACGAATAAACTATTTATTAAATTATTTACCTTAGCAGGCAGTTTTTCAACAATTTTTTAAGAAAATAGTCGCTTTACTTTTTAACTTCACAATACATGAAAAATTTTATTTGACCTGGTGTATTAATTATTTAGTATTAAAGAAAACATTTTCAAAGTTTTTTTGAGAAATATGAAATTCTAAATTATTATGAATTTAGTTTTTTATCAACAATTTTTTCATTTTGTGGAAAGCTTTTTTAATATCTATGATATACTATTATTGTTTAGTGAAATTCTACGGGTCATCGATTCGTTACAGCTTGTTGACCAAAAACCGCAAATAGTCACACCTGCGAATTGGATGGTAAGTACAAATTGATTTGATTATTTAATATGTTAACCTATCGATATATATATATATATATATATATATACACGCTCATTCAGTTTGGAGATAATTATTAATTAATTTCATTGTATTACCTATTTTGTAAAAACTACTGTATTTTCCATATGATTATTATTTAATTGTAATCAAAGGCTAAATTTTCTTTTAAAAGCTTAATATAAAAATGAAATATTCAATTGAAAATGAATTTCATTTTTTTTAATGAATACCTTGAAATTTATAGAATCTTATTACCGGTCTTTTCTTGTTAATTTTTTAGCCCGGAGACAAAGTGATGATAGTTCCATCTGTAAAGGAAGAAGACATACCCAATCTTTTTCCTAAAGGTGTCGAACGAGTTTCTATGCCATCCGGAAGAAATTATGTGCGCACAACCACTGATTATTAATTGGCAATTGATGTATGCTTAAATTTTAAACTTAATGCACTTTAAATTTTCAAAAGCCATAATATTTCAGATACCGATTAAAACATAATAATATATTTTAGTATTTATAGAGCTGGAAAACGTTAATGCATTCAATATTGTAAACCGATTATTATGAACTATTATATGTAAAAAAACTATATAAGCAAATTATCTTTGAAATTAGGATTATCTAAATCAATAGAATATTTTTTACGTCTTATTTTTATATTTGGACATGTACACGCGATTTTTATATATCTAAAACATAATCATTCATTTATTTTTCATTTATTTCAGTTTTTCATTTATTTTATGTATTTTTTAGGCGATTTAATACAAATTTGTTCATTTCAATTTAATATTAATTTTTATTAATCAAATTGAATTAAAGTGATAATTAAACTTGATGATAATTATAAAATCTATAATATAAATGAGCAAATATAAAACATAAAATATAAAATAAGTGATGAATAAAAATATAAATTTATATTAATATTTTAATGAAGTGTATTTATATTTATTACATTTTTGAAACAAATAAAAATAAATAAATAATACAAAGCAATTTATATATTTGTTAAGGTTTTATCGTAATAGATATTAGCTTTAATTTAATAATTTTGATTATCTTTTATTTGTTTCATTTGTTACTCTATAATATCTTTTCATTTGTTACTCTATATTAAACTAGAATAAGTAAAAAAATCAGTTTTAGTTTATTTTATTTTATTTTATTCAAACACAATAAAATACTTACGATATTTGGAGAAAGTTTATGACCTGGTAAGTATTTAACATTTTCATGCGTTTCATTGATAATATCTGTCAACTTCTTTCCTTCAATCATCTCCTCATATACGTACATCATCACTTCCTCCTCAAACTTGTCCTCAAATTTTTTGACATTAATACCAATAATTTTTGCGATTGCTGAGCCCCTAATAAATTATACATATTATTTATGAATATTATGGTCTATATTTATTGCTTGTTAAACCAATATATATTTTATTTTACATATTATACATACAAAATGTATGTATACACATGTCTGTTGTGTGTTTAATTTGTTGTTCAAATTTGTTTTAATTGAATTTAAAATTATTTATTTATATAATTAATTAAAAAACTTGAGATACTTATTTTGTTGTTGATTTTTATTAAGACAAAAACACAACTATTGTATACTCAATTTGACTTTTTTTATATGTTGAATAATGGTTTCTAATAAAATTAGGTACTATAAAACATAATAAAATTAGGTTCTACTAAAATAATGGTTTCTAAATTTAATAAAATAAAATGTAATCAAGTTAAAAATATTCTATTCACTTCATAACCAACAATAAATTTTATTTATATATTTAATTTTTTATAATTTAATATTAAATTACATTCAAAGTTCAGGTCATTGGTTATCGATGGCTCACATTATATAATGCATTTTTATCATGCGCAGAGGTCATGCTTATATTTATTTAAAAATAATTGCATTCATTATTAAATAAAAACTGGCTAAATAATATGGATAATTTATCATAAAAAATTATTTTTGATAATAAAAATAGTTTTATAAAAAATGTGAATTTACAATTAATTTCGCTTTCATAGGTCCATTGCTTAGCCTAGAAAAGTTTATTATAGCTATGCCAACGTGATCCTATTTTATTTACCGACTTTTCCCGACTTTCTTTTTATAATTATATTCACAATCATATGTTATTGCAATAATAAAATTAATACGAGTTGAAAACAAAATAAAAAAATTTGATTACTTTAATTATTGGAATTATATATTGCATTAAAAGGATTTTTTAAATATTAGAATATTTATTTGATAAACTCATTTTTTTTTCAATTCTTGCATTACAATTAAAGAAGGATTGGTTTGAAAGCACGAACGATTCTTTATCATTTAATTACTACTAATATTATACATATGATAGATTTTATATTGATTTGATAAAATATGTTATTCGTAAATGAAAAAATATAAATTTAGAAAAATTTTTAAAGTGCCATATATAGAATAAATTTTTGTAATGAAAATTTTTCTTTCGACTATGATATATTGTTATGTATATATTTATATACCATGTTAGTGTTATGAATGTTTTTCTATTTAATTTCTATACAACGTAAAATGTGTAACAATCAACCTTAATCAAAGTGTTTCTTTCACAATTTTTAATACATTTACCAATTTCCACTACCAATGATGCAAATCCTTATTTTCGGCATTCTGCGGTTGAACTACCCGATTCTATGACTAATAAAAGATATATTACAATCTGATGTGAAGATGTAAAATAAGTATTAAAAAACTCTCCCCACATTCGGCAATATTACTTTGTATCAATTACAAACACGGCTTGACAGTCTATCAACAGTCTACTTGCGCATATTTTGAGAGTGCAAAAAATCACAGGAAAAATCAGAAAAGCAAGCGCCGACAGCTCCTCCTTACGTACGGGAATTAAATGACAATTGCCGTCGCGCGCGGGACATTTTTTTTCTGCGTGACTGACCTTAAATTACCTATACAGAACTATATAGGTTACTAGTTGGCTATGCATCAAGGATAGATGCTTTGGTGGCTTAAAATTAACTCGGAAGATTGATTAACCATGACAATCAGGTATCATACCTTGGTCCGTCGATGAGGAAGCACCGGGAAGAAATAAATCAGTGATGTTTTAAATGAAAATTGTTTTGGTGCGATTTTAGGTAAAGTCAGATTGACACTTAACGCTTAAAAGTGGACTTGAAAAAAAGATAAACTTTTGAATTCAACCTGTATAAGATGGAATTTTATATCCATTTAGCTGTATAAAATCACTAATTTTTTCACATATAAATATGTTTTTGATTTTAATATAATAAAGATTTATGATTTAAAAAAAAATTTTATTTAATTTGAGCACGGCTTCACGAAAAAAACGAAAAATTTTACATAATAATTTTAGATAACAATTTATTGATCAACAAATTTAATAATATCTCAAGTTTTCATGTAATAGACAGCACGAGATCACATTACACGAACATGAATTGTTCATCATGATAAATAATCTTAGCGTTTGATTTTAGAGAACTGTTAGTTTATTTAAATTTAAATTATTTTTATTATTACAACTCAAAATTTTTAATTAACGCCAAGGACAAAATAAATAATTTTTCTTTAATTTACTAATTAATAATCGATGTAAACTGTTTATATTAATATTTATAATGAAATGGCAATTGCATGGGAATTGCATGATAATTTCATATAAACTATAAATTTATTGAAAGAAAAGTGTACAATATAATATCTTAAAATAACCAATTATTCAAGCACTATAATCCTATGAATTATTTCATCGATCATTCCAGAAAACTGCAATAGAATAAACGTCTGCACACTTATTACAAGAAAAACAATTTCTGTGTATTTTAATTATTGTTCCACGTTATCCCATGCTTATTTTATACTATCTATTTAATTTTCTCGTTGACAAGATGACGTAAGTAATAATTAAAATTTGTCCAAATTATCGCTTCCATTACGAAATATTGATGGAATTTATAAGATTGAATTGTTACTGTGACATAGCAAAAGTACCAATAATATAATACAACAAGTATACATAATAAGTATTTATCTTCATTAGTTACTAACTTCAATTAGTCTAATTAATGAGAAAGTATGACCACTGATGATAGCACATTCATAACTTTATTTCTATTTTTTATTTATTGGAAAAGTTAACAAAAATTATTAATTTTTCATAACATTATAAATATATATACTTTATAAAGATTTACTGTATATATGTAACAATATTATATATGTAATAATAATCTATATATGTAATAATAATATAACTGTCATACAATTAGATTTATATCTGAAAATGTAAATATTAATATGCGAAAATATTATTTAATATTAATATAATATTAAAATGTTATTTTGAATATCATGAATATTGATATGTTAGAATATTATTTAATATTTATACAATATTGAATGTTACATGTATATCATATTGATATAAATGAAAAATTTGTTATAATTATATAATTAAATAACAGTTAGAGATATTTGTTGGTGATATAATATATTCAATAAATAAATATTTTCATTAAAAAACTGATTATTTTTTAATTACTTAATTATTATTATATTAAATATTAATATTTTAACTGAATTATGTATATTTGAGCCATTTTTCATTTATATTGTCATTTCAACTGAATATGATCTAAATATAATAAAATTAACAAAATAAAGATAAATAAGAAAAATTAATTTTAATATATATATATTTATATATACAAAATTATCATTTATATTTGAATTTTACTATTTTATACTACTGTCATAATGCAGTCTATTAAAAATAATCACAACATCTATGAATTATTAAAATTATTAAATTGATAATCAATATATTATCTAACATAAAAAAACTTACAATATAATATAGATTTTTTGTCAATGCGATCAAATACAAAGTAATTTAAAATATTTGTTCTTATGAAAAATAATTAAAAAGTTAAACGTATTAATCTTTATATTAGAAATAATTATAATGTAATAAAATTACAATATAATATATTTTATATATATTTGTAGAATTGAAAAAGAAATAAATAATATTTGACATATATAAATTTTTATATTGTACAGAAAAATAAATATATATATTTATTATTGGTTATCTGTTTAAAATATTCTATAAAATATCGATGGTAAATTAGTCGTTAGTTAAAAATTAACCGTCCATTAATTTTTATATTAATTTCTATTTTTGATTTTCTTTTTTATATTTTTAAGTAATATTGAAGAACATCTGATGTAAGTTATATTAATATTTTAACATTTATCAACATCGAATGAGATATTTGCTGATTAGCTTTATAATTTGATTCACATAAATTTACTTTCTTATAAAATGCAATTTAAATGATTATATGGCTTCAATATTTTATCAATGAGTTAAAAAAGTGTATTTTTATTTTTTTAATGCTTATATTTATATATACATATATATATATATATATATATATATATATAATGCCAATTTTATAGTTGTTGAGATTATGTATATAAAAAGTTAAAAAACATACTATTATTGGATCATTAGTGTAAAATAAAAAAGCCATGTTACTTGACGCGTATCAAAAATGATCAACACTCCTAATAATTGAAAATTTATTTTTAAATAGTTAAATAATTTAAAGTTGTATTTCTACAATAATATTTTTTAATTATTTAAATAATATATTTTCAAATTATTTTATGGAATAACAGTAAGAAGTGAGTGTAAAGATAACTTTATTTGAAATTATATGTGAAAAATTCATTTTATTGCTTTAGTATTTTATAATACAAAATTTATATATATATATATATATATATATATATATATAACTAAATAATAGGTTCATGGTCATTTAAAATTTTTGTAAAATACGCATAAATAAGTTTGTCAATATTAGAAAAAGTTGAAACTTCGTTTAAATAAAGTCATAAACGTGGAAATGTTCTCACTGTTTCTAAAATATGTTCAATTTTTATAAAAAAAAAGACTATAAATTAAACATAGTATGAACGATTAAATAGTTTATATGTATATATCGAATTTCTTAAAAGGCTTCACGAAGATGACCAATAATTCATTACAATTATACGTTTATGGTACGAGGATGATGCCTGGGTTGTACTTTTAATTGAATGAACTTTTACACGGATGATGATGAGGCGAAATGTAAGCAGATATGTGTGGTAATGACTATGACGGCAACGATATTAAACTTATTCCGTATTCCTCCTGTACTTTTCCCAATCATTGGAGTTCATCATAGGTGACACTTTGGTGAATTGGTTTGCTGTCTCTCGAAGTCAACGTCGACGTCATTCCTAAAATTTCGATATTTCATAACTGATTTTATTCCTTACATATGCGGTGCTAATTTCTTAAATTAATCATTACATTATAGCATATCAATTTTCATGTTACATATAAGTTGAAATGAATACAAATTTATACATTATGTTGACATTAATTTTTGATAAAGTATAATAATGTAAAATATTTATAAAACGTCTATATAAATGTATCATTTAGATTATTACAGAAAATACAGTCATAAAATCTACTGATTATAAGCGTTTATAATTAAATATTATCTAAATCTGTGTATTAATAAAGTGGGTTTCTTAATAAAAATACAAGTATAAAACAATTAAATAACCTTAGCAAATTATAATCATATATTTTTTAAAAAATTTTTAAATACATTTCTTCTTAATAACAATACGGTTTTGTGATTTTCAATCAACAAACAATAAATCCATTTTTCAAAAATGTTCAAATACATTTCTTCTTATTAACAATAAGTTTTTGTAATTTTCAAATAACAAACAATAAATCCATTAACTGCTAACATGGAATAGTTATTATTTATTATTTATCTTAATAACGTAAGACACAACAACTTATTAAAATAACTTCCGCATTTTTTTTACAATATGTCATTTCTGATTCATTCTATTTCATTAATTTACTTTTAGTACTAGTTTTTATTTGTATGAGATTATTGTTACAATACAAATTCAATAAAATATATATATATATAAATTTTTTAATATTCAGATAACACTTATAATATAGATTTTGATAAAATATTTTCAGCAATATTGCAATTAAAAAAGTTTTATGAGTTTAATTTATTAATAATTTTAATATTTTGCAATAATCTTTGGATATCAACATTTCGAATATTTTCTTTGTTTTAAAACTAGTATAATTGTTTACATATTACAATAAAGAATGAATCTATTGAATTTTTATATTTAAGTTAATATTTGCATGATAAATAAAAAATTTCGTTTTACAGTATAGCTTTTTATTTGCGCTTAATACACTAATTTTTTGTGTATTAAATTTATAGTGTTTATTCCAGTTTGAAAAATGGAACTCTGAGTAAATACTTATTATTTTATCATAATTTTTTATTTAATTTTGATTTAATTCTAAGCTAGATTAATGATCTCGATTTCAATATATAAATCATATTAGATATTCCATTCACTTTATTAGATAAATTAGCAATAATTTTTAAGTTATAATTAGAATACAGTTATTTTTTAAATCAAAAGATAAATTCAAAGGGATGATAACTATTCGTTAAATATTATTAAAGTCATGAAGGTTTAATTTGATTGCTTTTTGTAAGAAAAAATATTTCAGTAGCAAAATGTAAAATTATAATATAATATAAAATTATATTATTTAAAAAAAAATTTATAATTTTAAAAAATTCTTCAAAAAACCGATATTTTTTCAAAACTCTTGCATCAATAATATTTTTGATAAAATAAATAAATTACTTACATAGATGTTTATACAAAATAAAATATTAATATGAAACTTATTTTCGTGATGTATAAGCAGCTTTAAGGTAATATAATACAGATTGTTAATACTTTAATAAAATTTCTAAATATTTTATTCTTATTCTTTGTAGTAAGTTATATTTGGTATTATTAACGATAATTATGTTTTTAAAATTATTTTCAAGCAGCAAACGTATTTATAAAATCTCAAAAATATAAATAACTCCGAACTAAGATTGAAATTCTATCTTAATCTTTAAACAGTAATTTTTTATTTTTATTATAAATAAGTATTTTTAATATATATTAATATGCTTATACATTGTCAGAATAAAAGGATATAATAGAAATACATGTAAGGAATGATGTACTGATTTTCATTTCTCCTTTTTAAGAATTAAATCATTGTAAAATAAAAATTCCTCTTAAAAATTGAAAAATGTATTTTTATTTAAATTATCATTTTAATTTACGCGAAACGTCAGGTACACAAAGTATTTATGATATCTACACTCGTCAACTGTATATTGAAATTCATTTTTAAACTAATTATGGAATAATATTTATAATGGTAAAAAAATCATCGCAAAAATGTAAGAAAAGATAGTTGGGCATGAAAGTTGTTTCTTCTGCAATGGACGGTATGTATACGAATTTTAAACAAATAATTGTCTTAACATTTATTATTTTATACAAAATTATCAAATTACGATTTTATAATTTATTACTGTTTTTCATTTCTTCTCGAACATATAATGATAAAATATTTCATAATATTAAATAAGTTGACGTATTATTTGGTTTTTGAGCATTTTTTGCTTATTTCATTTTTGCATCTCGCTCGCCATCTTGCAAAGAATTTAAATGGATTTCCATGAAGGGTAAAGTATCACGACTCTTACATGTGCTCTGGATGGCTGCGGATGCAATTGATGAGATCCTTTGGCTTGAGCTCACCCACGCAAATTCGATGTATGGACGTAAAGAGGGGGAATCGACTTTCCATACTCTTCGCCTTCAGCATGTAGTTCACCTCTTCTGCGGTAAAAGGACCCTGTAGCTTCTGCCCGTTCAGCATTTGCTTTTCTAGTTCTTCAATGGTCTGTCAACGTTTTATTTTGCTTTATATTAATTGTGATATATCTATATTGCTTTCTCGCCGTTTCTTTACTGGTCATTCAATTCATTAGTTAACTATAACTTTTTACTTTAATTTAAAAATTAAAAGTATTGGATATTATCCCTCGGTTCCATTTCAATGTAATTATAAACATCGGAGAAGTAGCAAGAATTTCTCAGTTGAGTGAACGCGAGCACTGTTTTCTATAAGCATATCTACTAATCAAAGGAGAATAACTGACCTTGCCGGTCTTGACAAAAGCCTCGGAGACTTTTCTGTTCCTCCCACCGTAGCAAGTAGTGATGAGATCGGCCACGCCACAACTCTCAAAGAACGTCGAGAGCTTGCCACCTGGGAAGAAGACATCGACGAATTTTATCATCTCCATGAGTCCGAGCCTAATGACTGCGGCTTTCGTGTTATCTCCAAGGCCAAGGCCATCTACGAAACCGGCGCCACACGCTACAATATTCTGTAAGAGTATAATTATTGTATTAATTATTCTTCCAATGGTTTTCATTTTTTTGTGTTCAATTTTTAACAAAAAGATGAAAATTATTTATAAGTAGGATATCTTTGAAACTCCTTTAGTAACCATGATATATTATACTGATTTTTTAAATATCTGCTGTCATAATACTGTTTTGTGAAGAAAATATTTTTTATATTTTACTAACGTATTACTTAAATGAGCATCTTCATAATATAGCTTATAAAATTAATAAAATTTTATAATATAATAATAGAAGCATTAAATAGTCAGCAAATACATTATATTTTAAAATGTTATTTTAGACACATTCACACACAAGTTGTTCTTATAAATAGCGTACAATACTTTAATAAACCACAAATTTATTACTTGTTATTATCAAATCTGAAATAGTGGTGTTCATCTTTAACCATTATACGAATGAAAAAGCGACTCAATATGCTGTATTATTGAATATTAGTAAATTGAATAAATAGACTCATTGAAACAGTAAATTGATGATATAATAAATTTTAAGTTATCACAACAATCATTCTATATTTAATAATTAAATGTTTTCATTTGAGTTACCTTAGATTTCATATTTACATTGCAAAAAATAGAAATACTAAATAATTAGTAATTGACCTCAATCACCTATTAATGCCTTATAAGATCAAGTTTTCGAAGAAATTTAAAAAAATTATAGTTATGTATATTAGAAAGCTTACTTCTTAATGCCCTTAAAAACTGAAAGCTTTTAAAAAAAACAAATCTTATTATTACTAAATGTCAATATACTTTGTAATGAGTGACTTTTATATACCTATAAATGTGAGTTTAATGTTCAATTATTAAAAATGTAGCGCAGAAAAATTATTCATTTACGCTATTACATAAAATACCTTGAGAGCACCACAACATTCAACGGAATCAGCATCTTCTACGACAACGACTCGAAAGTATGACGTCTGAATAATATCCCTCAGTATCGGGGCCTTTGACTTATCCTTACATCCTGAAGTAAAGCATATCAATTATTTTAAATATATTAATTAATCAAGAATTTATTAAAAAGCTCACTTATTTCAACTTTTATATATGTATGTATTATGAGTAATAAAAATCGATTTTCAAGAATTCAATTTTTAATTATCTAAAAGCCAAAGGCAACTTAAAAATGAATAAAAATAAATTAAATTTAAATTATGAGATTAATTAGAAATTTATATAATAATAATTAGAAGATATTTGAAGTTTTCATGAGAAAATCAAACTGTAGCCGATAATCATTGTAACAAGAAATAATAATTGGGGAGTATAATTTCTCTTGTTAATATATTTATGAAAAATGAAAAAAATATGAAATACATTGGTTATTAAGATATTGGTCTTATCGCCTGTAAAGCAAATGGTTGTTCTTTTTTGTATACACATGCGAGCAAGCAACGGAGACAAACCGAAGACTTGTCTTTCTTTATCTCACTATTGTATAATGATTTGCGCTATAATTTTTTTCTATACAATAAAGTGGAAGTCATTAATTAAATCTGTTTACTATGAAGATCTATTTGTTGTTTGAATATTTATCGTTTTTCATTTCCATGAAAAACTTTTAAAAACGATGATTTTTTTTTAGCCAATACATTTAATCAGAATAGATTGCAAAATTCCATAAATTAAAGCAATAAATTTAATAAGTATCTTTTTTGCATTTAATATATTTTTTTTTTAATAAAATAAAAATGGACTGTATTAGATTATCAATGCATTAATAAGATTTATAAAGAGATGTAATTCTTTATTTCTAGTATGAATCATTTTTTAAAGAAGTATTATGATAAATTAATTCCTGATACATGTACGGTATGTCATATTTATAATTACTAGCACTATAATTTTTATCAGAAAATGTTATTTATATAATACAATATATAATAATTGTATGTGGTAATAATTATAGCATATAATTCACTAAGTACTATAATTTGAGAACTAGATACAACATGATCACAACAATAATTACTAATTTTCATATAATATTTTTTTAGTATAATTTCATAAGGTCTATAATAACATTATAGTTTTTATTACAATATTTCTGTACAGTTTTCTTAGATGAAAAAAATTGTTTTATTTTGATTTCAAAAAATAAATTTTTACGCATTTATCACATGATATGATTAAATCACACTATTTGATTTTGTTACAATAGAAAATTTATAAATCAAAATGTTTTTAATGACCATATAATTTTAAGAAAGCTAAATATTTACCAATAGTTGTTTCGCAGAACATCTCATCAGCCACTTCGGAGGCTAAATTTGCTCCCATCAAGACGGAAACAGGAATATGCAATTCCTTAGAAATTATGTGTGAAATAAGTTCGATACCACCGCCTTCCTTCTTATCGAAACCCTAAAAGTTAATTTTTATATATAACACTAATTAAAATTTCACTCTTCTTTTTTACAATTATTTACGTAAGTCTTTTATTAAGAGCTTTGATTAATCTTTTAATAATAAGCAATTAAAAATAAACATTCAATAAAAACTCGGACGTATTGAAGAATTGCAAAGTAAAAATATTTTTTAAATATATTGTTAAATATTTGTTTATTGAATATAAAGAGAATTAGTTAATAAATTTTAAATAAAAAAAGCTTACTAGAAAGTATAAAGTTTGATTGTAATTTATTAATTTATTATTCAGTCTATTTAATTCTAGTGAATTATATACGCTTAATAAAAATTATTTTACTCAAAAATTTACTAAAAAACTTTACTTAAGAATTCTTTTACTCTTCTTTCGATTAAATATATATTGACGATAACACAAATCTCTCATTTATTTTAGTGCACATTATGATGAATGAAAAACGTGCTAGTTATTTATATTTATATATAGGTATATAAGAAACATACCTTAACTAATGATAGTCCGACAGCTGTTGATTTAATTTTTCCTAATAGTGTACTACATATCCTGCGGATAAATTGATGCGGCACTACAAAAATTAAAATATCAGCATCTTTGGCAGCTTCGACAACGTCTGCAACGGCGATCTGTGAATATCGTTTTCATTTTTGTTTTCATTTTTAGTTTAATTAATTATTAGTTCAAATGTATTAAACAAGAATGCTTGATGAATTTGTCATAATTCAATGTAAGATTAAATTTGATTTTATTTATATACATCTATATGCATTTACATTTGTAGATAACTAAAAAATGAAATCCAAATAAATCTCTGTATACATATTGTGTATTGAAAAATTACTTCAAAATTACATGACAATAAAAATTCAAATTAGTACTATGATCGCGATCAACAACATTTCATGAAATTTAGTTAGATACTTAGTGACTAACAATATAGCTCTATATCATCTGGTAAACGTAATATTGCGTAATGACAACTTACAAACATTTAAATGAGTGAACAATCTTATTGACATATATAATTAAATAATGATAAAACTCACTATTTAGTCAAAGCAATGTATTTATCGATTGTTTTTAATTAATAAAATATAAAAAATATATACGAAATAATGTAAGCATGATTTTTCATTTTACATTTTGTTGGATTAATTAATTAACTTTGGCGAAGATCCAAACTTGATTTAAATTATGACCTATATTAAGAATTACTGTATGGTCGATCTAAGATGATGGGCTATTGCAACTATGTATGTAAAAAACAGAATTATTCATAATTGAATTTTTAATAGATCTTCTAAACATACCGTCAACATTTTGAATTGATAGATTTAAATTTAGAAATTTTAAAATTAAATTAACCAAATGGTTAATTAAAAGTCAATAATTTATAAAACATACAATTCTATTCATAATACTCAGTCTATTTTAAAACACTATTTTATAATTTACTGTCTTAAGCAATTATAAGTTATTGTAAACATTTACTCGAAGTTGTATTATTATTTTGTTTCATTAAATCAGTATCATAATATATTATATATAATAAATTATAAAATATTAATTATTTTATAAAAACATGTTTCACATATTTTAGGCTCATTTTAAGTATTTAAAAAGGAAATAAATGGAAATAAACATGCAAATATGAGCTTTCAAAAAAGTTGTCCAATATTACTAAGGTTTGTAAGTTATAATGTATATGCACTTCGATAAGAATGCACAAGATTATCATTTTAATATTTAGTATTCAGATAGTAGTCAATTAGTCATATTGCTCCTGTAACTGTTTTTTTTTCTATTATTAGTAAGTTCTATTATTATTATAACTATTTTGATTTGCTTTATTGTGCTTTATTTTTTCTTCACCTATTTAAACATATTTAAGGGAATTAAAAAATTATTACATTAAAATTTTTAAATAAAAAAGTTATTATTTATCAGATAAAGTAGTAAATTTTTTTAATTGAAAAAAAAAATATATATTATTCAAAAACTTTTATTTAAATGTACTACAGATAGGAACATTAGGTATGCAGATGTGCTGTATTGTCCTACAAAATATAGTTTTAAGATATTGCTAAAAATGTGCAAATCAATATATTTGTAAGGTATCGCTTTAAAAGTTCAAGTGACTCCTTCAAATACATATAATTTTAAAGCAATATAATAGCACCCGCGGAAAGTTCTTTAATTCAGATTTTTCAACTTTAGAAGTTGTCAATCCTTTAGTTGTGTATATATAAATGAAACTGTTATCTTATATTCTTGATAAAGTCTTATAATAATGGTATGAAAATATATATGGATTTTGGGTAGAAGAAACTTTATTGAATTCTGTTTCATAAATTTAAAGAGGATATATTTATTTAATAAGAAGCGTAAATTGCTAAATACTAATTTAAGAAAATTTGAACAGGATTTCTGACTAATAATATATAAGTGGTTTAAAATATTAATTTTTAGTTAAAGTATTACGCAAATATTTATAAATAAGATTTATCACTTTGTTTTATATATCTACTTTATTATCCTTCTTCAATAAAGAAATTAAATTTATACTTTTAAATTATTTACATACATTTAAGTACAATGAAGTTTGTTCTATAATGAATTTCTGTATAATTTAAAATAAATTAATATCAATAATGACTTTCACGGTTATCGAGAAATGTATTTACTTTAATAATTTATATAAATAAAATCAATATCTTAAAATTAATTAAATTAATTGCAATATTTTTAATATGGAATATGGAGTTATTTATTCTAGTATATTACAATCGTTTTTATTATTATAAAATTAAGGGCTTATAAATCTTATTTTCTATATAAGTGATTATATACATTTAAAGTTACTGTTAAGAATAACAGTAATAAATTACTAATTGCATACAATGGATTTTGAGATTGTATTTCAAAACGAAGATAAATAAATTCAAATAAAATATTTTTAAAATACGCAACATCTTTCATAAACCTTCTTTTATTTCAACATTTTGAAAGGTGTTAAGAAGTCACATCACTGTATATAAGTATAAAGTACTTGAGGACAAGAGACGAAACAAATACCTAACATTCCGTAATTAACTCTTATAAATTTTCTATACTCTACTTTTAGCATAATTATTTTAATAACAGCTTATTATAAAATTTTTTGTTTCAAATAATGTCTTAAATACTATTTAATTTACTAATTAAATTTAGCATTGGATAATATAATAATATAATGTATTATGTGTGTCATGTAAGTCGTCTTACATTTGCCATTAATTTTATAGACAACATTTGTATTTATTGTTTACGAACTATTTTAAATTAATAATTTAGAGCAGTTATTATTATGTTAAACAAAAATATGTTTTTAACGCATTTCATTTTCACAATTACTATCGCAAATTTGCAAAATCATTTAATGAATAATAAGTTCTTTTGAACTTTAATCTTGAATTTCGAATGGTAATGATACTTACGACATTCTCTGGAATCTTGTGACCTGGTAAGTACTTAACATTCACGTGTGTCTCGTTGATGATTTCCGTCAGCTTCTTCCCGTCGATTATCTCCTCGTATACATACATTGTGACATGATCCAAGAAGGCCTCGTTATGTTTGGCATTTAAACCAACAATTTTTGCGATAGCCGAACCCCTACAAAGTTTTATTTCAACATTAACAAAGTATTTAATATTTTAATGAATAAACATGAATTATAATGTTTGAATTTTACACTAATTAATTAAATATTGAATTATATATAATGTATTTGTATTTTCAAAAATACAGAAACTATTACATTAGTGAAAAAATTAACAATGTTTATATTAGAAACTTTAAAATAATATATGTTATAAAAAATAAGAAAAAATAATAAAAAATAACAATAAAAAATAAGTTCTAGTTACTCAACAAAGCTTAACAGCCACAGACCTTTTCTTGTTAAATAAATACACATATAATCCAAATCATAATTATAAATTTATAGTTCTCCACATTATTTCCTACGCTTGCTTATGTAAACATTTTCCATGATTTTCTGCCTGCATTTTTATTTGCATTATTAAATTATAAATATTCTATCGAAATAAATTAATTTTAATAATCATAATTATGAAAATGGTATATTTAAATTATAAGATCATAAATTTTATTAGGATAAAATTCAAAAATTATATAACGTAATATATATTTATTATTATATAAATATACTTATTAAAAATTATTTAATTATTCTGAAACATTATTATTCTTCAAACAAAATTCAATGTGTAACTTTTTTTAGATATTGATATATGGTAATTAAATGTACCATTTATATTTTGCCGAATAAATATATTTTACGTATATTGCATTTTATGTTTATGGTCGAAAGTATCATTTATTTTAATTTCGCCATTTTAATGTATTGGTTAGCATATTATTATTACTAATAAAATTATTGGGCAGTTTTTGATATTTTTATTTGTTATTAAACTTTGTATTTGTAATATGAATAATTATATTATATAGGATCTAATTTTAACTTTTTTTATTTTTATAACAAAAATATAAGAATTACACTTTGTACTGAATTACAATTTGTAATATATAAATTATGTTATCAAATGTGTACAAAATACACAGCTACTTCTATATAAAAGCCAAAATATATTTGCTTATAATTCCAACTACTAATATAATAAACTTATTTAGATCATTTATTTATTTATTATTTAATTTTATATTTATTTAATTAGTTTATTTAAGTAATTTGACTTATATTTATTTAATTATTATTTATACATGTTCAATTACAGAATTTCCCAATAGTATTAATGCTATGTCATATATATTTATAGGAAAAGATGAAATCATAAAGTAGTTGTAAAACTGGTCAGATCTTCAATAACATCTCAACTTTATTCTATTTATTTTACTTTAAAATAAGTTTACAAGACATACATTAATTAAATTCGGCATTAATATAGAAATAGATAATTAATGATAATTAACTTGTGAATGGTTTTCCCGGTGTTTACGGATAACGTTCGATTGAATTTTCTACATTACCATCACAGCCAATATTACTATCATAGCATCTATTTTTTATTTTCGGCAATACTTTAAACTTATCGTGAAATACGTAATAAATTTCAGTACCAACGTAAATTTCGTAAAAGCACATTGTTGAAACTCGATATTTATGAGCGTGGTCTTGCGCTTGCGTTATGTTAGAAGGTCAAGGGCGTTACGGCATTGAGGCTAATTAAAACATCCACTCATCGAACTTGGAGTGGACCCGAGCTATCAACTAAACCGATGAATATATAATCGATCAATAATTCTGAAATAATATTATTTATATTCATTGAATGGAGTAAACTTTACACATGACCTGTGTTTTTAATTCGACACTTGATTGCTTGATTGGGAAAAACAATCCAAGATATTCAAAGTATTATAAAAAGTTGTTATTAAATTCCATGAAAAATAAATGTGATTCATAATAATATATTTGTATGATTAATATCTAATGTTAGTAGGTTATTGATGTTGGATTAAACTCGACTATCGAAGGAAGATTATTACACTACATGTACAATAGTATCGAGAATAATAAGTAATTGCATGTCATATAAAAAACTGACTCATAACATATATTATTTGCAATGTATATCAATAAATAATTTGAAGGAAATTTTTATTTTTTCCTTCTTATTTTACAAACTAATATTTACTATGCACATGCATTTGATTATACATATTATTTAGATACAAAAATTTAGATGAGTTAACATTTAATGTTTTAACTCCGGAAATTTTAATTGTTTTATTTAACGTTAATGTTTTTAAAATTTGCTTTAGAGAATTGCAAGCATATAATTTTTGTTATCATTTACAATACATTTAATGATTTCTTCCTTTTTTATTCACATAGTAAAATTTGAAATAATTTTATTTTATATTTTAAGATATTGCCAGCAAACTGTGATAAACTCTACTGCCGGATTACTTTAAAATCGGGAATGCCTTTACGATAAGATTACTAAATTTATCGTTGAAAATTCTTATGTAACTAAATTTTAGAATAACCGTGAATTAATGATACTATTTGGAAAACATATCAAAATCAATTGTAAAAAAATATGTTTTGAACTTTTTATCATTTTCAAGTTATTGAAATAAAGATTAAGTTAAATTATTTGGAAATAAATGTTTACTCATAGGCTTACTAAAACAAAATCCTATTTCTACTAACATCATTCTTTACGAATATATTAATTATGATACGAAGAAAACAACTTATGTAAAATATAATTATTAATAAAAAAAACTAAGATTATCACATCAATTACAAATTCAAATTTTTTCATGTACTAAATTGGCGGACTACTAATAAATAATTTTATATAATTGATTATATAAATACTTTAAATATTATTTCAAATTGTAAATATCTCAAAAGCATTGAATGTCTAAAAAAATTCTTACAAAAATAGCTAAACAAGCTATTATTATTTTAAGAACTAAATGAATGGAATATTAACAGATATGGATCCTCAGGTAAAATACTGACTCATATGCCAAGGCTAATAATTTCTTTACAATAACAATTAGTAAGCCGTCGAAATAAAAAGTAGCCCAAAAGATAATGTAACTAATTGTTAATTTATTAATCGAAGCTGAAGTTGAAAGAGATTCCGTGTTAAAGGCAATCTTAAACGTAACCCTGTCGCAAAGCGGGCAAAAGTAAACTTAGAAATATTCTGAGTCGAAGTCACATATCGAAGTCTCGAAAAATCCATGCAAAGCTCATTGAAATTTATATCATAGTTTGTCCAAGTATTTATATACAGGAAATCTCGTTATAAACGTCAAACATAACGCGAGTTCGACTAGACGGAACGTGCTGATCAAAACAATACACAACGTCAACATCGCGATGCAAAATCCCCCAGCTAAACTTTGAGAAACCGTGCCGACGAAAAACATTTCAAGCACATTCTAACCTCGCGTCTTTCGACTCACCAGTTCCCAGAGCCAATGATGCACACCCTGAATTTCTCGGACATGTCGGGAGTAGTAGCAGCAACAGCGGTGGTAGCGACGATACGAGCTCAGAACGTCAAGTACGATTCGTGACCGGAAAACGACTAGATAACACAAGAATGAAAAAGAAGTTGGAAGACCGACCGACCCGTCGACAGCTACTACTGCCGACAGTTTCTATAGAGGAGAAACAGAAATTTAGGTGAAAAAGCAGTTGCGCGCACTGTCCGTGCGCTGAAAGCGGGAAATATTTAATTTGTTCGATAGGCGCGCCAAACCTTGTCTTTTTTTATAACTACAGTAGTTAGTATCCAATGGCGGGTCGTGAGACTCGTGAAACTCGCAGTTTCTACTCTAACGTAGAGTTTAATGTATTCTGGTTTGGTTCAGTTTTAAGGAGACTAATATTTATAAGTATAGTTTTTATTATAATTCGTATTTTTTACAAATACAATTTTCAGAATAGTAAAGGTGTAAGAAAATGTTATAATATTAAAAAAAAGCTGTCAATCAGAAAATGATTAAAAAATTTTTATAAAGATAATGATATTTGTAAAATTCCATAATTATAAAAAATATCATATTGTCATTCAAAATGAATATTATAATTTTTGGTACATCTCTATTGGCTGCATTGCCTTTCTTAATACTACAATGCTACAGTAATTATTTTGTAATAGTACTTTAACGTTATAAATTAGATCAATTACTTATCTAAATGATTTACAAAGATCTGTAATATTTATAATCTGGCCAATTATTTTTAGTTTTTACCAAATCTGAATGCTTCATCAGATAGCTACACAAATTAAATTTCATCAATATATGTAAATATATTCATTTATAATAATTCCGATTTAATTTTATGAAATCTTTTAAATTAAAATTTTTCTTTTTATGAATTAATATTATTGTTGTCATTTATTAGTATAGGATTTGTTTAGAAAGAAATTACAAGTTTTACTTTCCTGATTACATTCATACAAATATTAGAACTTCAATACGATTTCTTCAATTTTCATTCGCAATAAATTTTAATAATTTTACTCGGTTAAGAAATTTCACTTACCTAGATTTAAACAAATGTAGTGTTCATAGTGAGTGGCATAGTATTTACAAATTAAGTGTAAAATTATGTTTAAATTATTTTTTGTACTAATTTAATAAATGAACATATTTTATTATCCTATAATAGAAATTATATATTTTATCTATAATTTCTGTAGCAAAATTTATTAATTATATTTTCAAATATAACTTTTAATTAATTGAAGTTGAATATTAAATACCAATGTCTACAAATATTATTAGTCTCTATTAGTCTCTCTCTACAAATATTCTGTGTTTCAGTAAATATTATTATATAAATTATAAATATAAAAGAAGTATTATCGAAAAATGAAACAAAATTAAAATAACAAAATTAAATTTATTTTACAGGGAGTATAAAATAGCAAGGTAATTATCATTGATAATAGATGGTATAAATTATGTATGTAATTTATGTAATTTATATTTTATAAACTATGCAATGAAAAATTGTTAATGAGTATGTGCGTTAATATAGATTTTAATGTATTTATATCATAATTGATACTACTTAAGTAAGATATTGTATTTTTATATTATATTGATGTAAACAAGTGTTTAACTTTTTTTTATGTTTTCCGAAAATTGTTTCGAAAATATATTTTAAAATTTTATCTTCTTTCTTATCCTCTAGAAAAAATATATTGTAATAAATAATTAAATATTCATTATTGTTTATAGAGTATTGTTTCAAAGATTTATTTTTTATTATATTTATGAATTTTTTATGTTTGATTGTTATTATAGTTTTTTAGCAAAGTATTTTACTTACTATTTTCAGCTTATCATTAAAATAAAGTTAGAATATACACTTAATTAGTAAAATATTTGAAATTAATTAAACTTTTTAAATAATATGATAATATCATAATATTTAAATAATAATATAATCAATGTTTTCCATATAATTATGTTTTAATTTTATAAATAAATTATATTTTATTAACAGAATATCCATTACTATATTCTTTCGTTATAGCAAATGTTCTTGAACATTTTGTCAACATAAATTTTTAGTAAAATTTATTGCAAGATTTTTAAATTAAATTATTATTGATATGGATGAGATAAAATGAAATAAAATAAAATAGGAATAAAATAACTTGGAAAGCAGACATATATTTTGTAATATTTTAATGCATTTACTTACACTTGTGTAACTAAAGCAAATATAAGAATTTATTATGATATCGTGAAATAAATTACATTTCAATTCTTGATTATTCTAGAATAAAATAGAATAACTGTAAAATATGCCCAAATAAGTAAAACAATATTTTAACTACCTATTTTAAGTATTTATTTCCAATTTCAATTTTATTTGTCAAAAGCAGTTATGATTGAATTTTTCTATGCTTTTATACTTATATTTCATAGCAGTTAAAGCTATTATGAATACATAAAAATATTCAGGTATTAATTTAAATTGTTGAAATTTTTATCAAAATTTATTATCAACTGATTCAATCAAATTTTTTTAATAAAAGAGATTTATTTATTTGAGTCTTTTTTACAGTATTGTTGTTTGATAATTATAAATTGAGTGCAATCAAATCGTATAAATCTTAATGAAAAATTCTTATCGAACATGTAACTTTATATTCAATTTTTATTCAATGTCAACAATTCATATCTAAATTATCCGCTATTTCTCTTTTCATTAAATTTCACTTGAATGAATTTGTAACTGATAGCACCTAATATATTTTTTTTTATTAAAATAAATGTTTTATCTTGTTCAGTAATAAAATTTTTGCTGTTTTAAGAAACTTGATATTATCAAATGAGTAATGATTTGTTTAATAAAAGCTAATGGTCTCTCACACATCTTATGCACATTCATTCACTGGTGTAGTGATAATGCATAATTTGTCGACCATTCAGTGGCTGCGTATTTCTATTATTATATTTGAAATCATTGTTTAATTTTATTTGTCTAAATGCCTCCATCTATCAATAAAATAAATTCAGTAATATAAAAATAGTATAATTGTTCAAAATCTTCAATTTATGAATCGCTAGAATACCTGCTCTGTAGAAACACTCCTGATACGTAATGACAGAAACCAAATTACTGCTTCGGAGCAAGGTGGTGTAGTCAGTGATCCTAAATAGCTAACGTAGGATCCGTTGAATATTCCCCCTATAAAATACTTCAAAGCGAAGGGTTCCAATGTCTTTGATTGACCAGGGGTCAAAATATCTTGAAAATTAGCTTGTATTTTATCAAGAGCAACATTTTGGTGTTCGCCAATCTGAAAACAATTTAACATATAAGACTTAAATAAATAATTTTAAAGAATAAATAAATTGAACAGTGTATTTAATTATTCGAATTTTATTGCAAGCTTGTTGCGTAATTTATTATTAATTAAAATCATTCTTTATAAAAAAAAAAATTATTTTTTGGATTTTAAATTAGAGCAATTTGGTGAAAAAATGAAAATTATTTTAAATAATTTTATAATTAAAACGTATTAAAAATATATGTAATAAAGTTTTCCATAAACTTTATCAGTACCATTCGTCAATTTAGGATAATTCGCCTAAATATATTTAATATTATATATATGTTGTAAACGGAAGTAATTGTCGCAGTTTTCCATTTTAATTATAAAAAGTAATAAGTATCTTGTTATTTTCTTGTTTTACTGATGAAGTAGTATAAATTCAAAAAGTTATAAAAACGTTACTTTAAAATTCACGAGATAATTAAAAAAGAGGACTCAAAATTTTTTTACCGCTAATAAAGTTGCAATAACTAGTACACCATCATCGTATTCTAAAGCATTAGACATATTTCCATACGCCGTTTTAAAGTGTACAACATGTACTTCTAGTGGGAAACTGAAAAATAAAAAAAAAAACAATAAAATAACAAAATTAATAAACTATAATTAAAAATAATATTTTTAATAATACAGTAGGAAGTTGAATGGACACATTGTATGATCTATAGAGCAGTCAATACCAAAATTATCACTTTCAATTTATAGTTTTTATTTACTATTAGAAAAATTTGAATGTTTAAATTATAAATCCAGTCTAAATGTATAATTACATACTGAAGATATCAAAAAGTAAAAAATATATACTAAGAACTACAATTTTTACTTTGAACAGTATAGTTATAATGTAATATAAAGATATACCGTAAAGATAAAAAGATTTAGATGATATTGTTGGTTTCAAAAGTAAGCCATAATAATAATAACAACATTTCGTGAAAGGAATATATAAGTATGAAAATAAAGTGATGATAGATTCATTGAATTATATAAAAATAAACAAAATCATAAAAATAAAAACATCAGATTACAAAAGTGTGTAATATTATTATTTACATTACAATTAATTACATTAACTTCAAAATTGTGTAATAAATATATTTTATTTGATTAATACTTTTAATTAATTGTAAAATATTATTTTATAAACAATAATTATTATTTAGATTAGATGCATTTGTAAAATAATTTAAGAATTTATTTAAAATGTTTATGCAAACTAAATAAAATAAGATTTTCAAATGAAATCTACACCGTTGTAATTAAATTCGAATTTCAAATATTCGTGAATTTTTTTTCCAGATTTCCATAGGTTTAAGTAAATTTATCATTACTTTGAGACAGGTTTCGCTATCAAAATTATTATATTAATATTATCTATAATAATTGAAAATTAATATCAGTTCACGTTGACGTGCATATGAAATTCGTAGCTTTATCATGAATAAATAAGTAATTAAGGATGAGAGGAAAGTAAAATCTAAAACAGCGTTATGTCATTAATATCGTATGATTTGGAGTTCCGATTCTTGTTAATTTATATTACTGGTTATCGATAGAGTGCCGAAGTAAAACATTTCATCTGAGTGCCCGTTATTTGTCATAAATAAATGAAAAATAAATTAAATTTATACCAGTATATTAGTTTTATTATTTTTTTTATTATTACTATGATAATGGGTTGGCGAGGTTATCGATTAATTTTTTAAATTTCGATATTTATTCACAAAGAAAATATTACTTTTAATTACTATAAAAAATTTACTTTACGTTCTTCAATTTTATTAATATTAATATTAATAATAATAAGAATACTAATATCATTTTTATTTATGTTACATGCACGAAGTATTAAAATTATTAATATTAACTTTTAAAATAATTTTATTTATAAAAAAAATTTTTAATATTTATACCAAATAAAATTCTGAATAGATAAACAATATATATATGATTAGTACTTGTAAAAATAACTTAGGTAGTTAATACATTTTATAGAAAGTGTATTGCTATACCTATTTTATAACTCGTGTTTTGCTTACGATTAAAAGTTCAATTATATATAACATGCGAGCAAATCAGTAAATTAAGTTATAAAATCAAATCTTTATCAGTTTATGAGTTTCCTGTAATATTTAACTACTTTTATTAGTGATTCTATAATTATTGACTATTTATGTTTTATAATAGCACAGCAAATAGTACTTAAGAATTCGAAATACTTTCTATTTTTCCATATTATATTTAACTACGAATTAAATTTAATATTTATTATAAGAAAATATATATCGTAGCAATATTTTAAAACTGTTCATAAATTTTTTATGTTTAAAAGATTTTAAAGTGATACTTTAAGTACGTTCAAGCTATATTAAGGCTATGATTTACTTTTTTATTGCATAATCAATGTTTATAATAGTGGTAAATATGATGGTTTTTCTGTGTAATATTAATATTTCATTTATTTTAATTTTATAAATATTTAATGTAATTTTCAATTTTTAGCAAATTTTCCTAAAAATCCTAAAATTGCGAAAGCTTTTGCAAGCCCCGAAAATATCGCTACCTTTAAATATTCACCTTTCTTGGTCAAAAGTATGTTCACTACCGTAACTGTCATCTGCGCCCCAATGAAAATGCATCTGGGTGAACATGTAGACGCCTGGTAAAGGCCCGCCCCAAATTGTTGGTGTTTTGTTCTTTGGCCATTTGCCAGATAACATGACTGTGAAATGTTAAATTTATCATACATATTTTTTCCTTTAAAAGGGGATTTTAGCATCAAGGAAAGGTATATTAATTTAGAAACACTTTTATATTTGAGCTTTATGAGCTTAAGATTTCCATAGGTTTAAGTAAATTCATCATTACCTTTAGACAGGTTTCGCTATCAAAATATTAGATTAATATTATCTATAATAATTGAAAATTAATATCAGTTCATGTTGACGTGTATATGAAATTCGTAGCTTTATCATGAATAAATAAGTAATTAAGGATGAGAGGAAAGTAAAGTCTATAACACGAAGAAATATTTAAGCGTTAGGTCATTAATATCGTATGATTTGGAGTTCAGATTCTTGTAAATTTATATTACTGGTTATCGATAGATTGCCGAAGTAAAACATTTCACCTGAATGCCCGTTATTTGTTATTGTCATTGATATGGGTTGAACTTTATAACCGCTTCCACGCAATCCGTGAACATCGAGTATCTTTGTTTCAACTTTTTCATTCTCAACGTCGACGGGTGACTGTCGCATTCCGTTACAGGTCGGATAATCGTCCATCCATTCCTCGTATGCAGTGTAATTAGAAAGACCTTGGGCTTCTTCGTTGCTTGACAAGGCCCCCTCTGGATCGCCGTCCTGATTGTTGCTTCCTTTGTCTGCAAATTAACAGTAGAAAAATTTGCATGCAGATCGCCTTGGATATGTACTTTTATCGAACGCTCAAGCATTCCCCTTCATCCATTAACGTAAGAGATTTTAATGTATTAGCAGAAATGCTTTTTCATATGCCCTTTTTTTGAGAATTCAACTTCATAGAAACAATAATTTCTAATAAACTCAACAATGCGTAAAATTTAAATGACATATTTTTTGCGAACAATAATTTGGACTTTTAATCAAACTATAGATTTAATCATTGAATTATGGAGTTACATTTAATATAAATAAAAAAAATTAAAAACATAAAATAAGTTCTTATAAAATTAAATATTGAATAAAAGTAAATTTACAACTTCAAAGTACAAAATAAAATTGCAAATACTATTTAGACATACAAAACAGAATTTGATCCAATTTTTACTCCTTAAAAAATTCTTTATTTTATTTAGCATTTTGATTAACATCAAATTTACGCTCGACTTAAATATTATGCAACACTTTAACTATATTGATATATTACGATAATATATTTAAAATTTTTGTATTTTTATCGAATATTAAATAATAGTGATTATTTTTCGTACATAATGCTTTCGTAAATGTTATCTATATAATCATCTGATAGAAGTTTTTCATCCGTACATATAGTATTATTTTATTATTCATTCTGTTAGATAGAAAAATATTTCATTTTGCTTATCTGCTTTTGCTATGATTATATAAATATATAAATTTATATGTGATTAAATGAATTATGTATTAAAATTGTGAATAATGTAATATTCAGATAAAACTCAGAACGTGACTTTAATCAACTGATATTTATAAGCAAAATTCGAAGATAATGTAAGTTACTTATAATAGCATTTTACTTAATAACTCTTTTCAGTAACTGTTAATTTTTGCAATTATCCTTATTTATGAATTATGAAATATATAATATTACATTATATTGGAAAATTTCCGTTACGTTATAACACGGTTACAGTATACAATTTATAAATTTTGATTATATAAGATTTTTAGATTTCCCTTTTTAAATATATACATTTGACATTTAAATACTTTACGAAGAATAATGTAAAAGTAGCAATGCATTAAATAATATTATAAGTTAGGAACTATTTTAGATTTATTTACAAATTAAGATTTAATTACAAATACTAAAGCAATATATCAAATGTATCAATATATCAAACGAATAATAATTTTTTATTAATAGATTTCTTTAATAAGATTTACAATGTAATGTAATCTGTTTATTTGAGATAAAAAATTTAATGTCAGTATATTAATGTAATTGATAATTCGATAGTAATTTCAATAGTATACTAAACTAATGCTGACTATATATCAATAATATATATCAAACTATATATCAAATAATATAAAATTATATCAAATAAAAATTTTATAAGTGTACTTTATTTATTCAATTAATTTATGTAATTAAAAAAATATGATAAAACGAATGAATATTTTTTATATGTGAGTTTTTATAACATATGTTATCGTAATTAATATATATACTAAGTTTCTAGTATTAATTTTTAAAATTCAAAAATATGTTTCAATTGTAGTTTCAATTTTCACCAATGTTTTTTTTTTTTAATTAGTAGCAAAGGTTTTTATTAGATTTACAATATTTTACTAACATTTATTCCATTCGTTTTATCGTATGTGCAAAGTACTGTCGAAGACAATCAATGCAGAAAAAACTACATTCACAAGATATCATTATTTCACAAATTACAAACTATTATTAATTAAAAATATTATTGAAATATTGAAAGAAATTCCCTTTGATTCATTTAATTACATTTAGTTAATTTTATATAAATACTTAATTTAAATAAAGTTATTTTAAATTTTATATTTTTATTTATTTTAGGTAAATTTTAATAATTAAGATGTATTTTTTTGTATCATTAAAATTCAGCTAAGAAAATAAGAGTATATAACACATTATTTTTTAAATGGAAAACTTGTCCTTGCATTTTTGTAAAAATGAATAACGGCTGTATCATATGTAAATAGTAGGATTTCACATCTCAGTGTACGAAGAGGATTCACCCTAGAAACTTCTATGAATTCAGAAAAATTCAGGTGCTTATAAAATTCATCCAAAAAGAGTTTTAGTTATTTAATTATATGTTTCATTTAAACAGATCAAAGGTATTGAATCTAAAATAGTATATTTTTCACTTACACTATTACAATACTTTTCAAATTCGTATGATTTGTTATCTAGATTATTTTTTATCTATACGAATTTGTTGTCAATAGTATGATCGTCAATTGTATGCTAAATATAATTATTGTTTATTTCATAATTATTAGTTATTAGGTATTAAAATTTTAGTTTATGTATCAAATATGAAATTTTTACTAAATATGTGCCATATGCAAATTATAGGAATGATAATGCAATTAAATTACTTTTAGGTAATATTTCAATACTTTGAAGTTGTTACAAAAATAATGCGTACGTACTATACTTCTTAAATAGATTATTAATTCGCTTTTATATGCTTACTGAGATGTCCAATTTTTTTATAACCATATTATTTATTATATTATCTCGTGAAACATCAATAAGATTGTTGATTAAATTTATTCAAGTTTCATTGATTGATTCAGAAATTTCTACTTTATTAAAAAAGTATTCGATCCAAATGAAATAGAATTTTTATTTATTAAAAATGATATACAACATAAAATTTCTTCAAATCAATAAAATTCATAAAAAATTACAGTTATTATAGATCACAGATTATATATGTGCAATTCGCAATTATTTTATAAAGAATACTATTAATTCATTTTATTAAACATAATTTAATTTGTATAATTTCTTTTAGATTTATGATAAGAAAAGTTTTGTCATATATTTTAAAATATATAGACTTTAAAAAAATTATTTAATAAAATCGTACTCAGTACTGTCATGGACCTAAAATTTGATAAAAAATGAATAATTAATGATTAATGATTAATAATTTATAATAATAAATGACCATATATTTAAAATAAATATAGACCATGTGTGAAATAAATAACCAATAATTATAAAATAAATGATAATTCCTAATGATAATTCCTAATATTCCCGTATTTTCGTTTAAAGATATTCCCGTTTTTTAAATTATAAGAGCGGT